TTAAGCTATTTAAAAGCGAAGGAAAGCGAGGAAAAGAGGGAAAATTCAAACAAACTAAAAATTAACAATTGCTTTACTCCGAATTGCCGCTATTTGAAAGTGAAAGTAAAATGGGCACACCGCTTTTACAAGCTATTTAAAAGCGAAGGAAAGCGAGGAAAAGAGGGAACGCCCCGCCCCCGCGGTGATACCGGTATTACCGGTGTTGTCACACGTCGATTAACCGGTGGGAAAATTTCCTCACCGTCACAACCCTACCCTACATTCTACTCTGCGTTTTCATCTCAAACCTATGAGTTTTGTCCTGGTTTGTATTTTTGACCAGAAGTGGGATTATAAGCTTGTGTTGAGTGAAATTAACCAGTGCTTCAGTGGCGGTACCGTTGGCACACCAATACCAAGCCTGATCAAAATGTGAACACCTTATTGAACACAGTCAGCCAGAAAGCTCCTGCTCAATACACAACCAAGCCAAGCACGTCACCGCTATGCGTCTCGCCGAGGGAATTAAGCGGCCAGACGAATTAACTTTTCAAGGATCATCCTTCCGAACATTGCTGGGGAGCAAAGGAGTGTGACAGTGTCTTAAATGCTCTAGTGTGTGACCCACTTCTAAAAAAGACTTTTGTGTCATTCTCGAAAGCTGCCGCATGCACACGCTAAACTCATTGAATACTACAGTAAATACAAACAAGCTCAAACTCCAATTTAGAACTGATGCCGCAAAAAAAAAAACTACGGCCTCCTTTAAGGAATTATTCAGCAATCAAACAAAATAAAGCATCTGGTAGGAAACAGGAATAAATAGTCAAGTGGCACATTTGGTGAGCACCAGGTGTGTAATAAAGTTTGGTGAGTGAAGCCTCGCTGCTGACGGATGGCACACAAGCCTGGTTCTCCTGTGCTCCGCTCTATTCCTTTGCCAACACAGCACATTGGCGTGGCAGTGATTGATAAGAGAAAACATCATTGGCAATGCTTTCATCATGGACGCACTATTGTCCATACGACATTCATGGCTTTCATATGCAAACTTGTCAGTGTACAAATGCAGTGCACACATGGAATGTTTTTCTCTTTAATTGGCATGAAATTTCATGGGAAGGTTTTAGAGGCTAACAATTTATACTTTGGCAAGGAGCCCCAACATAGGGGAAAAAAAGCTCAGTGGTGGGGTTTCCTTGGAAACTGGTGCAGAGTTTTTTTTTGTTTGTTTTTTAGCCAATGAAAAGAAATGGTGGCATGCTTTCATTAGGTGCCAATCCTGTCCTGCTTTGAAAAATGTTGTTGGTTTTGAAAACATTTAGTTAAAGCTGTACCTTATTGCCACATCACAAGAGGCTTTGAGACCGTCATAGAAACAGTAGCATGCCTGTGATGACGAAGACTGTACACTGCATGTTCATTTACACTGATGCAATGATTTTTCCTAAACCAAAAAATTTGAATTGATTTGTGTGTATTTAATTATATATATATATATATATATATATTATAAAACCTCATATGTATTATGTATTTTTATGTCTTTTAATATTGTAAAAATATCTTACACTTTCATAGTGTGAAAGTGTAAAGTGTATATCAGGGCTGTAGGCCATCCTGCATTGAATTTGAAAATACCTTTTAAATTTAAATTTTGAATTTCTATATTTTAAAGCATAAAAAAGCACATTTAAAATATAAAAAAGCATATTTAAAATAAAACACTTTAAATTATTATTATTATAAAATTTGAATGACAAGTCAGTAAATTCCTCTTCCTGCAATTTAGCTTTTTGTGATGTGCGGCCAATTCAAAATCAATTCAAACAATTCTTCAATTCTGAATTTTGTCCAACTATCCATAGTGTTTCAGTGTAAAGTGAAACGGCTCCTGAATATCTCTGTGATCTTTTAAACCCAAATACATCTGTTAGATCGCTGCGGTCTTCTGAGCAAAGAGTGTTGATGGTCCCGAGATCTAGATTAAAGTTGAGGGGTGACCGTGCCTTTTTCAAATTGCTGGGCCTAAACTACGGAATAGGGTTGTAACGATATACCGGTATGACGGTTTATCACGGTTTGAACGTGCACGGTTATCATACCGTAAACATTTGCATATCTACGTTTTTTTTTTAAATAATGAAAAATAATGAAAATATTTTTTCATTGAATTGTTTTTTTCCAGAAGGGAGACTTCAATAATTTCATTAAAATGGTTTCAAGTTTGTTGTAATAAAGGATTTGTTCACTCAAATAACTTGTTCTTGTTCTTTTAAGAGTCATTGTTACTGATAAGAATTATTGTTTAATATATACCGTGATATTTTCTGAGACGATTATCATACCGTGAAAATCTCATTCCGTTACAACCCTTCTATGGAATCTTCCAGTCTCCCTCCGATTAGTCTCTTCAGAATCTGAATTTAAATCCAAGTTTAAAAACTGACCTTTTTTCCAAGGCTTATAACTGTCCTTGGAGTATAAGGATCTGTCACCTATCGGTGTTTATCAGTGTGATTTTCTCCTCTTTAGTGCATTGCAGTCAAAACTGTTTATATTTGTCTTTTTAGCAAGGTTTGTACAGCACAGTGGTCAACTACTGTTGTTTTTATTGTGCTTTATAAATAAATTTTGATTTGATTTAATTTAAAGGTCTGTTCAAGCCTGACAAAATACAAATATTCATTTAAACTATTGAATCTGATACCAAATTGTCAATATTTCCTGAAATACCTGAATGGTAATTTGTTATACAGATTATAAATTAAACGACAACCTAGCCACAGAATAAAAAAAAAACTCAAAGTACACTAATGCAGACTTTGTGTGAAGGAGTTTGTTTTAAAAGCTGTTGCTGCCTCTGTTGTGGACTTGGTGTGAATAGGCCAAATGTGTACGTTAACCTATGTGTTTGTTGTTGTTTTTCTGCAGGTTTTGTGTGGGCGACAAGTTTTTCCTAAAAAACAACATGATTCTGTGTCAGATGGACTATGAGGAGGGGCAGCTCAACGGGAGCTTTGAGACACAAGTTCAATAGCCAATCAAACGACGGCAGCGACAGCTCTCGGTCCACACACACAAACACACGCTTATGTGCGATGGATGTTCTGCTGCACTCAGAGAGAAGAGCATCTGTCTGCTTGCCTGCAATACTTTTTACAGTAAAAGCCCTATTGGTCCCTGAGGACTCTATTGTAAATGTACTACTTTTTGGCCCTTCCTGTCCCCAACACTGAGCAGTTACACGTTTTGATGTACAGTTGTGCCTGCTTAGCTGAGCACTGTATTGCCTGTATGGTTTTTGTGATGTTTTTCTGTTTTGGTCTCCATCTTTTTCTTTCTTTCTCTCTCACACACACACACAACCACACACACACTTGCTCTATTTCTCTTTCTCTTGTTCTTCTAATGCTTCTCTGAGGGTATGTACAGTCTGTTTTCTGTATATATAAACTGGAACATTTATTTTATGAAACTGTAATGCAATTTTATTACCAGTGTGAATTAAAAAGATTCTTAAATGTTCATATTTGAGTTTGTTTTCTGATCCCAAAGCCAAAGTTTGAAGAGACTGGCCCATGTATCAACAAATGTAATTACTGAACTCACTTAAAATGGCTAAAGCTTCAAAAACATTTATCAGATAACTAAGAAATAATAAATGATGACAATTTTATATACAGAATGACAATGAAACCGCATATTTTAATTGCTGATGGACTAAGACAAGTTGTTTTCAGGTGAATTAAATACGGTCTTATTTCGAATAAAGCAAATGAATTCAAAAACTCCAAAGTTGTTGTTGTTGTCATAACATTGATTACCACAACAGATCTGTGAGGTCTGCACATGCTGAGTGTCTGCTTCTGAGTTTTGTCTACAACAATTTTCCTATGTATTCAAACACTCACTTATTAATGAATTCTTATCCTTACTTTTGGTGATTCAAGTCTTGAGTTCATGTCTGACACGCTACAACTCCATCAAAATATCACAAGGCCTCATAATGAACTGCTGTCTGGAGAAAAATAACAGCATGGTATTTGTACAAAAAACACAGCACTGTCTTCAACAATTTTCCTATGTATTCAAACACTCACTTATTAATGAATTCTTATCCTTACTTTTGGTGATTCAAGTCTTGAGTTCATGTCTGACACGCTACAACTCCATCAAAATATCACAAGGCCTCATAATGAACTGCTGTCTGGAGAAAAATAACAGCATGGTATTTGTACAAAAAACACAGCACTTTGTCGTGCCACCTTGGGGTTTTCAGTCTTTTTGTGGCACAGGCATTGTGAGAGTTGAACTGCTCTCTCAAAAGAGCTGCATTTCCGAATGGCTTTCATGAACAAAAGAAGTGCAATTAAAGGATTGCGACTGAGGTGACACAATCTTCTGTCCCATTACTTTTGATTTTCATCTGTTGGTGGTAATTCTTGTTTCTATGAGCTCTGAACCACAGGAGAGCTGCTTCACGGAGGATCTGCCATTTAAAGCAATTAGTTTCATTCATTGTGGCTAAGAAATGGGAAGAGTATCAGTTGGGGTCTTATTGAAATTTCATTTACAGATGTCCAATACTTGAAACAGACTCTCCGGTATAGTTTTGCTAAATGGAGCCTTTTATGCTATTCATACAGAAAACTTCTCCCCATTTCCCAGAGTGCTTTGAAAACTTCAGACTTAAAAGAACACAAGGTAATTAAAAAAGAACAAACATGAACTTAAAACAAATTTTTCATGAAGGCTGTCTAATACCTCTCAAGACTTTATTATATAAATTCTCATTTATTTCTTGCTGCTAAATATATATATATATATATATATATATATATATATATATATGTTTAAAAATATATGTGTGTGTGGTTAAAATATTTGTTTTTTTATAAAAAATCCGAATCCACATATTATGTTAATTATGTAAACTTTCACCTAATGCTGCTTAACTATTCATATGGTATAGACCAACTGCAGCATCAGTAAATATGAAAGACTCGAATGAATGTGTCTAAATACATAAATCAATAAACAAATGAATAATATAAGAGAACAGATTCTGTTATGATTATGGCCTTGTTTGGACAGACATGATAGCAGAGGATTTGCTATTCACACTGTTGTCTCTTCATCAACATAATATTTATAAAATATATATTTTTATTTTTTCCCCCTCAACTGCACATTAGTTCCCGATATGTCCAGTTATGTCAAGTTTTAAGCAAAGTGATCAAAACAGAGGAAGGCGTTCAACATCAAAGACACAAGTTATTAAAAGTGGTCAGACTGAGACTATGTACTCCACTGTGGAATATGTATAACATACGCTGTATATGAAGCTGACCTGCTTGTGCACCCCTGGGTGAAATTATTCCTGTTACACCCTTCCAAATGGACAGACTGCAGGAGAGGCTAAATAAATGCAGAAATACATAAACTTTTGCTGCTCTAATGGATGCGGGGCTGACCCCAATCACAAACCTCTCTTTTATTTTCATCAGAAGACAACGGATTCGCAGAAAAGTTGAGCGCATACGGATAAATAAATATACTCACACACGGGGACCTACGCACACGCGCGCACACCTGGCCAATAACAACGCAGCAGGCAAAAAGGTAAAAGAGAGAAAAGAAAGCCCCCCCGTTCACCCCCAACACATCTCTGCTCTGCTATGGTTTTGAACTTGGCAATAAATTGCTTTGGTAATCAGCTTTTTGAAAAGCTTATTTACTGCTTGTTCTCTGTTTATTGTGCTCCTCAGAATGAAATATAAAATTGGATTTCATTAGATGTGCAATTTTCTCTTTCTTGTAAAGAAAGGAAGAGAGAGAGAGAAAATCACCTTGTTGGATATAGAGAATGGATTCGGGGCGCACTGTATATATTACTGTTGATTAAGTTTCTCTCCGGGCTGACGTGGTCCTCTATTGCTCCAAGTACAGATACGAGCCAGAGTGCAATGTGAGCTCGGGCAGTTACAGTCAGAAATTTCATCCGTTAATCCAGCGAAAGACTCTTCGCCTAACGTCGGTGCCAAGATTGTGCGTCAGAACTGAACTGTCATTTCAGTTCAATACTTGAATTTGCCACTGGTGTGGCAAACAAGATGGCTGCTGCTATTCGAATTAAAATGAAGTGAATTTTTCAAAGTCAAACTTGAATGTTGGCTTGATAAAGCTTTGTTTGAAATAATGTGTAAAAGAGTTTAACTCGGCCTTACAGGTTTACTATAGGCCCTACAGACAGAGAATTATAGATAGAACGACAGATATAGATTGAACGATATACTGTATATAGACAGAATGACTGAAAAAAAACAGATATTGATAGAATGACAGATGTAGATAAAATGATAGAATGCTACATAGAATGATTGATATAGACCGAGCAATAAATGTAAAATGAACCATAGATATAGATAGAACGATGGAAATAGAATGATAGATAGAATGATATAGATTGAAAAGAGCTATAAATGTAGATAGAATGATAGAACGCTATGTAGATAGACTGAATCAGAGATAGATAGATAGACTGAATCAGAGACAGAGAGACAGACAGACAGATAGACAGATAGATAGATAGATAGATAGATAGATAGATAGATGCCTGTCATTCTGAATGAACTTCCTGTTGTGTGGCCAGTTCAACTGAGTTTATCAATAAACCGTCATTCGTGAAACTGATCCCAGGTGTGGTATTTTCAGCCAAGTGTTTTTTTATTGTAAATTGTTTGTAAATTATTTCTCAGCACTGGGGTCATGGCGTGCCTCGCTCCTGAGCCGGCTATAATTGCATGTGTTGCTGCTGATTGAGTGAGCTTTGATGCAACATTCATTTAACCACAGCTGTACTTTGCTAATGCACAAACAGTGTACTCAATCACTGCAGTCCTGCAGCTCCTTAATAACACAAGCACTTCTGCTTTCTCCCGCACTCTGGGGTCTTTAGATTGTTGATGTTTTCGTCAATATCTGTTTCTATGTAAAAGAATAGCCACGACGTGTTCTGAAAGCTCCCTTTGATGTTCAGACTTTGTGAACACTTGCTACAGCTGTGCCTTTAAGAGGACACATTCAAGATATAAAGTAGAAAACGACTGCAAAGCTGTAAACCACTCCTGTTGGTGCAGCACAAACTAATGGAGTAGCCGTTTGACTAACCGTATCAGCCAGACATACAGTAGACAGAGCTTATTAAGAAGTGCTAACAGTAAGATAGAGTGCAGAATTGAGCACAGGAACTGCATTTCACAGCGCCATCCTTTTTAAAACAGCACCATCTGCAGGGTACACGCTGCCTCCAGGAGGGGAGACCGAGGTACGGGGCTCCATAGATCACAGGAGATGACGAGGGATCAGACACATTACTGTTGTATGTGTCATTTCCATATAGTTGAGCTCAAGCAGCCCTGAACTATAAATCTACTTTATTGAGCTTTGCTGGAATCGTGGGTATGAGACATAAAGAAACTTAGTTCATCGCCACTTTGAATAAAGAGAAATTGTGGTTAGGGTATTTGTGTGTGAGTGAGAAAAAAAGAGAAAATAAACAAAAATCACAAGAGAAATACTAGACTTCAAGCATCTGTGTGCATATTAGCATGTCACGCATATCAACATGGACACTTTTTGACAACTGATGCTTGCATTACCCTGCTGAAAAAAAAACAGACTAAACCAGACTAAAGGGCCAGTCACACCAACTATATTACAATAACTATATTAGAGTCCAATCAGTGGTCTGCCACTTTAAATGCTCCCTCTTTTTAAAGTTGTTTGATTTAATCCTTCATCAGCTGGAAAAAATTTTTTTTACAAAAGTGATTCCAATTATATCGTTCCTCTGTGCCATTATCATTATAAGTGTGGCATGGACGTTACTCTTTTACATTTAGAATGATTTTTAAAACTTTGTTGTTATCATTTTTGTTATAATCTGTGTTGTGAATGGGCCTTAAGTTGGTTGGAAACTGGTTTAAACTGGTCTTTCAGCCTGGCAAAACTGGTGTTAGCTAGGCGGCTAGCTGGTCTCCCAGCTGAAAAGCACACAAAACCCCTCTAAAACCAGCAAATAGACCAACTTGAACAGGCAGGGCAACCAACTAAGACCAGAAGACCAGCTTAGGCTAGTTTAAGATGTTTTCTTCAACAGGGGACTCCTTGCTCAGAATGACAGGGCCACCCTGATGTTAGCGTAGGGCAACGGGTCCAGACTCAAAAGCCCACACAGCTGCTGTTTTACAACATATCCATCTCTCTCCCTGCTCCAGGCCTCATGTCCACATTCATTACCCTCACTTTTATAATCCTTTAAACATACTTCATGGTGCTTTCTTGGAAATGTAATTACTTTTACAAGGTGACAAGATTTTCCAAAGTAGTTTGATTACCTGGACAGCAATATACTGGAGTTGCAGGATGACAAAAATATGGTAGAAACATTGTCGCCATATGACGGCCCGCAACAATACCTCCACATCAGCTCCCAAACAGGTCAGTCAACCATGAACCAAACA